TACCCCATCCTGCTAGGAATTCTAAAAATTTTCGAGCCTCAAACTAACGAGCATTGTCTGTGATCACTTGGAGGGGAATACCGAAATGACACAGAATGTTCTTCTCTACAAACATTTTGCACCTTGCTGCAGTGATGCTTACCAGGGGCTCGGCCTCTACCCACTTAGAGAAATAGTCGATGGCCACAATGATATACTTCCTACTTCCAGTCTCCGTGGACAGGGCCCCTACCAGGTCAATTCCCCATCTTGAGAAAGGAATCGCGGTGCTTACCGGGGTGTAGTTGGTTGCAGGTCGACCTGGTAATACCTGGAATTCTTGGCACTTAGGACATCGCTTTGCATACTCGGCGCAGTCCCTCAGCATTTTGGGCAAAAAATACCCTTGTAACATGATGCGTTGTGCAATGGTGTATGCCCATTGGTGCGCGAAGCATACTTCCTCGTGGATTTCTTTCATCACCAACTTGGCTTCATCTGGGTATAGACACCTCAGTAACGTGCCATTGTAGGAACGTTTGTATAGCTTATCGCCCGAGACGACGTAGCTAGGTACCCGTAATTTTGTTACCTTTGCATCTGCCTCGTCTTGCGGTAAGGAGCCATCTGCCTTGTTTCGCTTGATATGGTCAATCCAACATGGCTCCCTAGTCTGCACAGGGAAGACCCACGAAAATCGATACTTGAAGTCTCGAGGTCTTCTAGGTGAGCGATCTTCTGGATATGGTTGGGGACCCCGGTGCTTAGTTTGGAGAGCATGTCGGCGTCGACGTTTTGCTCTCTTGGTACCTGGTGTTTCTCATATCCCTCAAATTCACGCAAGATTTTCAGCACCGCGTCCCTGTACTTCTGCATGCTCCCTTCATTGGCTTCATACTCCCAGACACCTGGCTGACTACCAACTTGGAATCGCAGCGAATTCGAAAACCTTTTCAGTTCGTAGTCCTGCCGCCAACCGCAGCCCATTGAGGAGGGCCTCATACTCCGCCTCATTGTTAGATAACTTGAAGTGGAATCGAATGGCATAATAGGCACGGAATCCTTCCGGAGTGACGAGCACCACACCGCCGCCGCAGCCTTTGCTGTTGGAAGAACCATCTGTGGACAAGGTCCACCACCCTCCATCTTCAGTTTCTACCTGGTCCGTCACTTCCTAAGCTGTGCACTCTACTATAAAGTCTGCAAGAGCTTGGCCTTTAATGGCGGGCCTCGGTTTGAAGTCTATGTCAAACTGACTGAGTGCATGGCCCACCGTGCCATCCTGGAGGAACTATTAGTATTTCGGAGGAAGCTTCCCAACGGTTGGTGTGAGAGCACGTGGATGGGGTGAGCTTGGAAGTAATGAGCTAACCTTTTTGATGAAGTGACTATGGCAAATATTGTTTTCTCTAACACAGTGTACCGGAGCTCCGCGTCGTGTAGGGCTTTACTTACGTAGTAAATGAGACGCTGAGTCCCTCCTTCTTCTTTGACCAACACAAAGCTGATCGCACCCTGTGACACGCCCGAGTACAAGAGTAAGGTATCACCTGCCTCTGGCTTTGCAAGCAAGGTCGGGGACAACAAATATTTTTTCAATTCCTCGAAGGCCTTTTGACAATCTAGCGTCCACTCGAACCCTTTGTTCTTTTTCAAGATTTGGAAAAAAGGGAGGGATCGTTCAACCGATTTATATAGGAATCGGCCTAAGGCCGCCAGACGCCCGTTGAGCCTCTGGACTTCCTTTATGGACCGCGAAGGCTCCATGTCAAGGATAGTCCATACCGTTTCTGGGTTCGGCTGAATGCCGTTCCTAGTGACCATGAAGCCCAAAAATTTGTCCCCATCAACGGCGAAGGTGCATTTTTTTGGGTTCAATCACAAACGAAATTTCTTCAAAATGGAAAATACCTCGCTGAGATCCTCGACATGAGAGGTGGCCTTGCGACTTTTGACGATCATGTCGTCCACGTATACTTCCATGTTTCGTCCCAACACCGTTTTAAACAGCTTTGCCACCATGCGAGTGTATGTGGCCCTGGAATTCTTCAATCCGAATGGCATGACCAAGTAGCAGAATATCCCCTCGGGAGTGGTGAAGGCGGTCTTCTCGGCGTCCTCCTCATGCATGGATATCTGATGGTACCCACGGAAGGCGTCCATGAAGCTCATAAGTTCACATCCTGTCGTTTCATCCACCAACTGATCTATATTATGTAGTGAAAACGGTCCATAGGGGATGCCCTATTGAGGTGTAGTCTACACACATCCTCCACTTTGATCCTTTGGGAGCCAAGACTACGTTGTTCAACCACTGCGGGTAGTAAATTTCCTTGATGTGCCCCACGTGAAGCAACGCGGCCACCTCCTTTTTCACGAACTCCCTCCGTTCTGCTGACATATACCTTTTTTGTTGATGCACCGGCTTTCCGCTGGGGTCGACTGTGAGCTTGTGGGTTATGATGCCTCAATTTATGTCTGACATATCCTCTGGTCCCCATGCGAACACCGCGCAGGAGCGGCGGATCACATCCACTATTCGGGCCCTTGGGGCTTAAGCCTGTGTCGATCTTTACCACTCAATCTGGCCTTGAGGGATCTAGAACTATATCTTCTGTTTTTTATACGGGCTCGGCGCGGGGCCAGGCCTCTTCTTCTTTGAAAATTTCCTCTGCGATCGTGTGGACTTGTAGATCCTTACCGCCAATCTTCTTGCATGCCTTTACGTAACAACTGCGGGCTGCTCGCCGGTCTCCTCTGACGACGACCCCTATCCCATTCGGAGCAGGGAACTTCATACATAAGTGTTCCATCGACACTATGGCCTTGAGGTCCTCCAGGGCCGGCCTCCCCAATATGATGTTGTGCGCACAAGTGAGTCTTACCACAATGAATTCCATGTCCAGTTTGCGAATGTTGGGGCTTGTGCCTATCTCCACTGGTAGGACCACTGACCCTTCTGTCTCCACCAAATCCCCAGTAAATCCAGAGAGTGGAGTTTGTACCTCTTTGAGCTGGCTCCTAGGTAGCCCTAACTTGGTGAAGGCGTCGTAGTACATCACATTGACCGAGCTTCCCGTGTTGACCAGGATGCAATGCATGATCATATCATTGATGTCCATCTTAATCACCAGTGCGTCGCGATGGGGTAGGGGGCCTCAGGAGGTCCTCGTCAGAGAAAGTGATGGCCTCCCGCTTCTGCTTCTTTCCTTTGGGAAGACTCACCAGTTCTCCTATGTACAGCTGCCGGCTCCATTTCTTCCAATCTGCGGGTGTGTCGCCCCCCGCAGGTCCACCATAGATAAAGTGTATGGTGTGCTTCTTTTGTCGTCTGGGCGCCACCTTCGTTTCTTTCTCACTATCATCCTACTTAGATATTTGGTCGTGTCCTCTTTTTTTGGCGTTCGAGGTGGGCGGTTCGGCGCCATCATCTTTCCTCCAGACATTTTTTGGTGGATTGTGTTGCGGCTGTTGCTGTTGTTTGGATCGCTTGACGAAATGTCGAAAGTAGCCCTGCTGGATGAGCTCTTCTATCTGCCTCTTCAACATGTTACATTCATCTGTATCGTGACCGGGTTGCCTATGAAACCTGCAGTACTTTGTTTGGTCTTCTTTCGGGGAGACTTTCATGCACTCCGGCGGGAACTCCACTATTCTCATCTCCTCAGCTTGCTTTAGAATGACACTGACGGGATGGGTAAGAGGGGTTAAATTACGCAGGGGGACCAAGCGAGGTCGTTCATGGTCTCGGCCTTTTCCTGCGGACGAGTGGTTCGAGCGTGGTGCCTGGCTGGGCGGACTAGCTTTCCCAGGCTTTCCACCCTTTCTACCATCCTCTTCGTCTTTCTTCTTCCTGTCGACATCCTCTGCTTCGGCATAGCGACTGGCCGTCTTCATCAGATCCTCGTAAGAGCAGGGGTGGTGGGCGTTCAGCTGCTTGTGGAAATACCCCGATCTTAAGGCATGGATAAATATCGGGATCGCCGCCTTGGAGTCGAAGTCGTAGACATTATTGACTTCCATTTTCCATTTGTTCAGGAAGTCTTGGAGGCTCTCGCCTCTATCTTGCTTTACTACGCATAGGTGAGAGAAGGGTTTCTTACGTTGTATGCTACTGGAGAAGTATGTCAGGAAGCTCTTGGACAATTCTCCAAAATTTTGGATTTGTAAATTTAAATATAGACGTTTGAATTTGGTAACGTTGAAACAGACGTTGTGACACAAATATTTGTAACGCAGTTTCGGGCAAGCAGCCCTAATCTGCGAGGCACTTCTCAACTTGAGAACTTGCCTAAATCCACTAAAAGCTCAATATTTAAAGTAGACTTTGTTTAGGGAACGGGGATTACACAATATGATTTCCTATCAAGCTATTGAGACCTAAATACTTGTACTACTTTTCAAGGGGATTTGGGTATCTCTTCTTGTTGAAGGAGTTTGGAGAATAAAGTATTGTCTTGTTATTTACACTCTATCCACAAGCAAATACACAGCACCATATATATAGGTAGAAGATGGAATACTAATAGAGCCCTAGGGATACTAACAGACATAGCCCTAGGGATACTAACAGACATAGAAACTGAACAGTCATAGGAAATAATAAAAGCATAATAATGAGTCTCAACATCCCCCCTCAAGCTGGAGCATGAATATCAAAAGCTCCAAGCTTAGTACACAAATATTCAACTCTGGGAAAGCTTTGGTGAAGATATCAGCCAACTGATCATTTGTACCCACGAATGAGGTAACGATTTCCCCGGATGTAATCTTTTCGCGAATAAAATGACAATCGACTTCGATGTGTTTTGTTCTCTCATGAAAGACAGGATTGGATGCAATAATATGCAAGGCTGCTTGATTGTCGCACATCAGTTTAATAGGCCCTTTCATGCAAAGATTTAATTCAGTCAAGAGATGCTTTAACCAGATTAGTTCACATGTTCCCAAGGCTATTGACCGATATTCTGCCTCTGCACTTGATCGAGCCACCACATTTTGCTTCTTACTTTTCCAAGATACTAGATTGCCACCAAGAAAAACGCTGTACCCTGATGTTGACTTTCTATCCCAAGAACACCCAGCCCAATCTGCATCAGTATAACCAACAACTCTATATTTCCACGATCCTTGTATAAAACACCGTTCCCGGGAGACTTCTTGATGTATCGTAGGATCCTAATGACAGCTTCCCAATGGCTATCACACGGAGAAGCAAAAAATTGACTCACAACGCTAACTGCAAAAGAGATGTCAGGGCGAGTGACGGTTAAGTACAACAATTTTCCAACCAATCTTCGATATCTTCCTGGATTTGAAAAGGGCTTCCCTTGTTCCGGTACAAGCTTAATGTTAGGATCCATGGGAGTATCAATAGGTCTGCAATCACTCATACCTGTTTCCTTTAATATGTCTAAAGCATATTTTCGTTGAGATATACAAATCCCTTGCTTTGACTGGGCAACTTCTATCCCTAAGAAGTATTTTAATTTTCCAAGGCCTTTTGTCTCAAAATGTTGGAAAAGATGTTGCTTTAGCTGGAGTATTCCTTCTGCATCATCTCCTGTGATAACAATATCATCGACATAAACAACAAGATAAACGCTCTTACCATGTCGATGCCGGTAGAATACAGAATGATCCACTTTGCTTTGGACTAACCCAAACTCTTGCAGAACTGTACTAAAACGTCCGAACCAGGCACGTGGAGACTGTTTCAATCCATAAAGAGAACGTTTTAATTTGCAAACCAAATCAGTCTCCCCCCCCTTGAGCAACAAAACCCGGAGGTTGCTCCATATACACCTCTTCTTTTAGATCCCCATGTAAAAAGGCATTCTTGATGTCTAGCTAGTATAGAGGCCAATGATGGATGGCAGCAATAGACAGAAAGATTCTGATAGAAGAGATCTTGGCTACGGGTGAGAAGGTATCAGTGTAATCAACGCAAAACACTTGAGTATACCCCTTGGCTACAAGGCCAGCTTTGAGTCTATCTATCTGTCCATCAGGCCCAACTTTGACATTATAAACCCAATGACAACCAACAACTGTTTTGCCAGGAGGTAATGGAACCAAGTCCCAAGTTCCCGAGGATTGCAAAGCAACCATTTCATCTACCATAGCTTGCTGCCAACCAGGATGGGAAAGAGCTTCCCTAACTGAATTAGGAACAGAAACAGATGATAAACTGGAGATGAAAGCATTGTAAACAGGGGAAAACCGGTGATAAGAGACAAAATTATATATAGGGTAGGGATTGCGAGTAGACCGGTTACCTACCCGACTAGCAATGGGCGGACTGGAGATTGGAGCAGGGCCCGAATCCGAGGGAAGAGACCGCTCAGGAGATGAATCAGCAGGTTCAATGTTTGCAGCAGTAGTGGTTGGTGGTAATTTTGACCGACGATGATAGGTGAACTAGAAAGGAGAAACAGTGTGGGTTTGTGATGGATTGGGAGGTAGGACAACAGGAGATATTGGTATTTCTGTCCCTCCTTCAAATGAGGGAACTGGTAGGACATCAGGAAAAGGATCCACCACCCTTATAGAGTCAGATGAAAAGAACGGAGTGTACTCAAAGAAGGTAACATTTGGTGATACATAGAATCGCTGTGTCTCAGGACAATAACACCTGAACCCTTTTTGAACCCTAGAGTACCCCACAAAAATACATTTCAAGGACTTGGGTGACAGTTTATCACGACCAGGAGTAATATCCCGAACAAAGCAAGTGCAACCAAAAACCCTCAGCGGAAGCTTGTGTAATGGCTCTTGAGGAAACAATATGTTATAAGGTATTTTTCCATGTAGAACAGACGATGGCATACGGTTAATAAGGTAACATGAATGGAGGATAGCATCTCCCCAGAAATAAGAGGGAACCTTATAGTGAAGGAGCATAGTCCGAGCGGTTTCCACTAAATGCCTATTCTTTCGTTCAAACACACCATTCTGTTGTGGAGTATCTGGACAAGAAGACTCATAGAGAATACCTTCAGAGTCAAGGAGGGTAGACAAAGGAGTATTGAAATATTCCCTGGCATTATCACTTCGAAGGATTTTAATAGAGACTCCAAATTGATTCTTGATTTCATTTTGAAATTTCTGAAAGATGTTGAATAGATCAAAACGTCGTTGCATTAGGAAATCCCAAGTACAACGCGAAAAGTCATCAATAAAAGTAAAAAAATATTTAAAACCTAACACAGAAGTGACACGACAAGGACCCCAAATATCACTGTGAACTAAGGAAAAAGGGGATGAGGACACTTTATTAACCCGTTCAGGAAAGGAGGTTCTTGAATGTTTCCCAAATTGACAAGATTCACACTCTAGTGAAGACAGCTTTGAGAGACTCGGTTCAAGTTGTTGTAGTTTCTTCAAACTTGGATGACCTAGACGACAATGAGTAAGGGAAGGAGAAATAGTAGCACTACAGACAGCGAAAGCAGGAGTGGATAGACGGTATAACCCTTTTGATTCATACCCCGAGCCAATCGTCTTCCCCGAACGACGGTCCTGTATAACAACCGAATCAGGAGAAAAAGTGACAAGACAATCAAGAGAACGAGTAAGTTGACGAATGGAAATCAAATTAAAAGGACAAGTAGGTATATGCAAGACTGATGACAAGGGTAAATCAGGAAGAGGTCTTGCTTTACCAACTCCTTTAGCAGAACAAATGGATCCATTACCAAACACAATGGATGGAAGAGACTTAGAGTTTGTGAGATGGGTCAATAAGGAAGAATTACCACATATTTGTTCGGAGGCACCTGAATCAAGGACCCGTGGTCCGAGAGGTCCAGATTGAGAAACAAGGGCAGCATGAGTCTCTCCCGTATGAGCCAAAGGAGTGAAAACAGTAGCTTGGGCATTAGCCTTAAACCGTGCAAACTCTTCATATTCTGCAAGAGAGACATTTTTAGAACCTGATTCTTCTAGTTTGAGTTGAGCCACATTTGTAGGAGCAGGCAACGGTTTCCCGTGCAGTTTCCAACATCGGTCCCGTGTGTGTCCAGATCTATTGCAGTAATCACAGTATCTAGCATTTTTCTGCCCACTACGGTCTTTATTCCGATTGCCCAGATTATAACCACGACTTCCTTGGATCACAAGAGCAGATTGTTCTGTAGTGGATGCAGAAGTTTCACCAGGAAAAGAGGCCACTTGAAGAAGGCGTTTGAACAACTCTTGGACCCCTGGCACACCTTTATCCCCAAGAATCTGGTTTCGAGTATTCTCAAACTCGGGGCCTAATTTAGTCAAAACCAGAACAACAAAAAACTTTTCACGTTGGGCAATCTGTTCATCAGGTGTCCCTCCAACGGGTAAAAGCTTATTAAACTCAGTTAATAAACTTTGAGTTTTCCCAAGAAAGGCTTCCATACTCATACCATCCTTCTTTAAATTAACCAAATTATCAACAACTGTGTATGTAACATTGTGAAATATCATTAGTGTACAAGGATTTGGCTTGACTCCATACCTCAACACATGTTTTAAAAACTCTAAATAGTTGAATTAACTCAGGTGAAAGGGATTGCCATAGAAGACTACAAAGTTGTGCATCCACCCTTTTCCAAATTGCCTTCTCATTTTCTGGTACCTCAGTTTCTACCCCATGTTCCAAGTGGTCAATAACACCCTGGCCCATAAACCACATTTCAACGGCATCCGACCAAGAGTGGTAGTTTTGTGACCCACATAATTTTTCAGAGGTAATAACTGGATTTCCAGATAAATTAGGCACAAACACTAAGCGAGAAATAGCATTTTCAACATTGGTAGAAGTAGCATTTTCAACATTGGTAGAAGTTTCCTCGGTTCCAGTTGAAGACATGGTTGATAAAAAGGAAGAATATTACCAGGAAAGCCAGAGGAGGGTCGAAAATGGAACTGGAAAATATCGCCGGAAAATATCGCCGGAGGAGGTCTCACTCGCCGGCGCGTGACGGCGGAAGGCTGTGCGTGAGGTGGCGCGTGAGGGCGGTGCGGCGGCGGTTTGAGACGGGACTTCGACGGCCAGGGTCGCCTGCACTTCCAGACCGGCGGTGGTTCTTCGGAACTTTATGAAAACTTGCGATGAGGAGTTTTTGAAGAAGAAGCGTAGACAGACCCTGCACTGCTACTATTCATCCTCGAAAATACTGTTCATGCTCGGAAATAAAAAGGGATTCAGGCCAAACCTGGCTCTGATACCATATTGAAGGAGTTTGGAGAATAAAGTATTGTCTTGTTATTTACACTCTATCCACAAGCAAATACACAACTCCATATATAGAGGTAGAAGATGGAATACTAATAGAGCCCTAGGGATACTAATAGACATAGAAACTGAACAGTCATAGGAAATAATAAAAGCATAATAATGAGTCTCAACACTTCTCAATGACTCTCGTGCTCACAATTAGGTGCTGAAAGTGTAATCTCTGTGATTGAGAGTGACTTCCTTTTATAGGACAAGGGATGACTTAGTTTGTGTATGAATAGATTTATTAGTCCTATTCATATTTGGACTATGATACCTACTGGAATTAGGAATCAGGTTTTTGCGCCCAACAGTTGACAATTCTTTTGAGGTCAACAATCTCCCCCTTTGTCAAACTTTTGCAAAAACCTTGATCTTTTAGAAGGTCTTGATTCCTGGTGAGAGTGACTGCCTTTTATAGGACAAGGGATGACTTAGTTTGTGTATGAATAGATTTATTAGTCCTATTCATATTTGGACTATGATACCTACTGGAATTAGGAATCAGGTTTTTGCGCCCAACAGTTGACAATTCTTTTGAGGTCAACAATCTCCCCCTTTGTCAAACTTTTGCAAAAACCTTGATCTTTTAGAAGGTCTTGATTCCTGGTGTGTCTCCCCCTTAGTTTGGGGAGGAATGTGATGATCTTTTGTTGAGTAGTCTCCCCCTTGATTCAATCTTTGCTTTTGCTGTTGTTCTTTGACTTGTGTAGTTATGGCATAATGAAATATGCTGGCAAGGAAATAAATCTATTCTTTTTGTCAGTATCTTTCCACATGGTAGTAGTAAAGAATAGGGCCAGATCATTCATAGTGACAGCCTGGATCATTTTTATCCTTAAAAGATAAACTGCCAAAAAGCCCAACAGAAAGAAAACTGCCAAAACTGCCTCTTAAAAATAGAAACTGCCAAACAGTCTGAGTTTACATGTCCCATACACATTACAGATTATTCAATTCAGATCATCCCAAAAGAATATCAAAAAGATCATACCATCTATTTTGAGACAGATTAAAAAAAAAAACAAGAGAGATCATAGCATTCACTTTGAAGCAGATCCATTTTGAGACAGATTCTTCCCAAATAAAAAATAGCCAAGAGAAATCATACCATCCATCTTATAGCATATCTTACCAAAATCATACCATCCATCTTGAAGCATATCTTACCAGGACATCAGATCATACCAAGGTACTAACTCTCCCCCTTTTTTGCTAAATGTTTGAAGATGTTTTAGGTGGAGTCTTCACTACTTTCAGCTTCAGGTTCTTGATCATCTTCTACTTCATTTCTTTCACTACTTTCAGCTTCAGGTTCCTGATCATCATTTTCTTGGTCTTTGTCAGGTTCTTGTGATCACCTTCTTCTTCGTTACTTCCTAATTTCAGGGCTTTCAGCCATTATTGTACCTCAGTTTTTTCCTCTTTGATTTCCATCTGTTTCCTCAATACATGTTTCTCAGAAGCCTCTAGTTCAGACAATCTTTTCTCAAAGTAGTTAATTAGAGTCTGCTGATCTGTTGGTTTGTCTTTTGGTCCTAGGGTTTTGAGATCATTTTGGTGCCGCCCTTTGGTCAATTTTATGGTTGTGCTGAGGATTTTTACTTGAGACTTTGGCTTGTGAATCTTGAGTCCTTGTTTTGCTAGGACAAAACAGATGAGGTTTGGAAATATAAGGCAAGCTTTGGTTCCTTTGTTTTCTGCTAGGTTTGTGACCTGTGTGTAGATGAGATTGCTAAGGTCAACTTTGATCCCTTTTCCAATCTTATACAGTAGGTCTGCTAGGCTTCTTTTGAGTGTTGACTCATGTAATGAGGGCATCCAATTTTCCAGTGCAATTTTTTGTAGTACAGCATATTTACTGGTTAATGATGCAGCCTTAATTTTGTTTTTCTCCAGATTCACATTCCCTGCTGTGAGTTCTTGATTGACTTCATCATTTGCAAGGAGTATTCTTTCCTCTCCTTCAGTGGTGTTGATGTGGTTGTTGATGATATCCGGATTGAACTCATAGTATTTTCCCCTTAGGTATATTTTTCCATACATTGGACTTGTGGAGATGGTGATGTCTTTGGTTAGGTTACTGTAAAATTCTTGAACAACTTGTTCATCATAGGCTTCTATATTTGTGACAGAACCGAGTAGGTGATTTTTTGTCAAGGTTTTTCGGATTTGATCATGTTTGTTCAGTTTGTCTACCAAAACTAATTTTTGACTGATGATCTTTCTTTCAATAACTTTGCCCCATAGTTTTGCTGATTGTTGGCTCAAAAATTTTGTGCTGTGTGGTTTTGGTAGGATAGATTGATCTTCTGTTGGTGATACCTTTTCTTTGCCTCTTTTCTTTTGTTTTCCTTTTCAAGTCGGCTTCTCCTTTTCTTGAACCAAATTTTCAGCATCATTATCTGGGTGTTCTTCCGAAGCCCAGCTCAGATCTTCCTTTGGTTCTCTTCCCCTTTTGGTTGTTATTTTGGAATTTGGCAATCTTGGAGGGGGGTTAGTGGGTTTTCGTTGTGGAGGCCCGGCTCTGATTGGGAAGTCATCTGGCCGTTTGGCTCTAGGATCACCTCCTTCATATGGGTCTGTCCTTTTTCGTTTCCTTTTGGTTGGTTCTAAACTGTGTGGTTCTTCTATTTCTTGATAATGTGCTTCCTCTGTTTCGTGATTGTGTCCTGATGACCTGTTTAGGTCTTTTTCAGGGGTGTCGAAGGGAGAAGGACACGGTTCTTGACCGTGACCTAGAGCATCTGTGTTCGATTTAGGGCTTTTCCCCAAATTGGGCACTTGACCTAGGGTTTCTCCAAATAGATCAATAGTGAGTTCCGGATTACCTGAAGGTGCAGATTGATGTTTTTGGATGGTCTGGAATGGCACTCGTGAGATGGGAACGGGATCCATGATGATTCTTGAGGCGTCGTCATCGTCGATGTGGACTGGGTTAGAGAGAATTCCAGTGCCGGAGAAATGTGGTGCAGGGCCTCTTCGAGGTAATTTTCCTTTTGCTTGGTTTCGTGTTCTCACCATGGCTGATCATGTGTGGAGCTTTGATGATAGTGGTAGAGATGGTCGTAAGGTAGAAGACGACCCTGTTATGAGCCCCCTCTTTTTTTAAAAAAAAAAAATGGTGGATCGGGTTATGGAACTTAGAGGAACAAGTCTAAAGGTTATGGGCCGCAAGCTATTTCCATATACGGCCCACCCTTCCCCTTCTTATTGTAAGTGGCATAATCCGATTTCGGTCCTCAATTTTACAAATCTGTTCCCGTCAAGAGCTTTTGTTAGGATATCTGCTAGTTGTTTTTCTGTACTGATATGCATGAGATTGATGATTTTATCTTCTACTAGCTCCCTTATAAAATGATGCCTGATGTCGATGTGTTTTGTTCTTGAGTGTTGTACTGGATTTTTGGAGATGTCTATTGCACTTTTGTTATCGCAGTGTATGGTCATAGTTGTTTGATGTATTCCATAATCTTCTAGCATTTGTTTCATTCAGGGTAGTTGTGTGCAACAACTTCCGGCTGCAATGTATTCTGCCTCTGCTGTTGATAATGATATAGAACTTTGTTTTTTGCTTGTCCAAGATACAAGATTTGTTCCTAAGAAGAAACAACCTCCTGAGGTGCTTTTTTTGTCATCTATGTTTCCTGCCCAATCGGCATCGCAATAGGCTGATAGGTGATGATTGGTATCGAAAGAATACCATATTCCTAATTCGGTAGTTCCTTTAACATATTTAATTACCCTTTTGACTGCTTTTAAATGTTGTTCTGTAGGATTTGCTTGATATCTTGCACATATTCCTACTCCAAAGCTTAGATCTGGTCTACTAGCAGTTAGATATAGTAGTCCTCCTATCATACTCCGATATAGGGTTTGCTCAACTTGTTTCCCCTCTATATCTTTTGTGATTCTCTCTGTTGTTGGAACAGGTGTTCTGACAACTTTGCTTTCTTCTAGTCCGAACCTCTTAACTAGATTTTTTGCATATTTGCTTTGTGATATGAAGATCCCACTGTCTTGCTGTTTGATTTGTAGACCTAGAAAGTAGGTTAGTTCTCCAACCATGCTCATCTCAAATTCTCCTTCCATATTAGTGATGAAGTGATTTTTGTGAACCTCAAGTGTTGATCCAAATACTATGTCATCAACGTAGATTTGGGCAATAACTATGTCTTGACCATAGTGTTTGACGAATAGGGTTTTGTCCACGCTACCTCTTTTGTACCCCTTTTTCACTAGAAACTCAGTGAGACGCTCGTACCACGCCCGTGGTGCTTGTTTTAGTCCATATAGTGCCTTGTTGAGTTTATAAACACTTTGTGGAAAATGGGGGTCTTCAAACCCTTTTGGTTGAGCAACATAGACCTCTTCTTTTAGATATCCATTTAAGAACGCCGTTTTTACGTCCATTTGGTAGAGTTTTATCTTGAGAATGCAGGCTACTGCTATGAGGAGCCGGATTGATTCAATTCTGTCCACTGGTGCAAATGTTTCTTCAAAATCTGTCCCTTCAACTTGGGTGTATCCTTGTGCTACTAGTCGGGCTTTGTTTCGTATAATGTTCCCTTGTTCGTCTGTTTTATTTTTGTAGATCCATTTCGTCCCTATGATATTGGCATTCTCTGGTTTAGTGACTAACTGCCAAACGTTGTTTCTTTCAAACTGTTGTAATTCCTCGTGCATGGCTCCCATCCAAAATTCATCTTTTAATGCTTCCGTGATATTTTTGGGTTTAATTTTTGAGGTGTAGCAGTAGTCATAGTCTCCTTCTTCCATTTTTTGATAGTCTCGTTTCTTTCCTCTAGTTCTGATTCCTTCATTTAGTCCTCCTATAATGTTTTCTATTGGATGATTTTTCTGTACCTTGGTCTCATTAATGATGGGGGTTTCTTTTTCTTCTGGGTCTACAGCTTCTTCTTTCTCTAATGTTTCTGATTCTGATTTCTGGATATGTGATGTTGGAACTATTGTTTCAACAACAGTTATTTCTTCATCATTTGTGGAGGGATCTTCTGTTGTGTCATTGACCACAACGTCGATAGATTCCATGACAGCGTTTGTCCTAAGGTTATATACTCCATACGCCCTGCTGTTTGAGGAGTATCCTAGAAAGATCCCTTCATCTCCTTTGATGTCAAATTTTTCCAATGGTTCTCTATCTTTTAGAATGTAGCATTTACTCCCAAACACATGTGTGTGTTTTAAGTTTGGTGTTCTTCCTTTCCAGATTTGATATGGTGTCATGTTGGTTTCTTTTCGAATGAATACTCGATTTATCAGGTAGCATGCTGTGTTAACAGCTTCTGCCCAGAATTTTAATGGAAGTCTTTTGTGATTTAAGAGAACTCTTGCCATTTCTTGGATGGTTCGATTTTTTCGTTCGACTACACCATTTTGTTGGGGTGTTTTTGGTGCGGAGAACTCATGATGGATTCCATTTTCTGTGCAGTATTCCTTGAATTTTGAATTCTCGAACTCTCTTCCATGATCACTTCTTAGGCGAATGATTTTTCCTATTCTTCTGTCCTTTTCATTCTGAATTTTGATAATGAGGGTTTTGAATATTGTAAATGCTTCAGATTTTTCTCTAAGAAAATTTACCCACGTGAATCGTGAATAGTCATCAACTGTTACATAGACATATCTCTTTCCTCCTATGCTTTCTGTCTGAGTTGGTCCAAACAAGTCCATGTGAAGTAGTTCTAGGATTCTAGAAGTGTGTATTTATGAGGTCTTCTTATGGACTGTTCGGGTTATTTTATTTTCAAGACATGCATCACATTTTTTGTTTTCATCTATGTCAAGTGTTGGAACTCCTCGGTAGACTCCTTTCTTTAGACCTCTTTTCATGTCATGGAAATTTATATGACCCATCCGTTGGTGCCATAACTGTGTTTGATTGACGGTTGTTTGTAAGCAAGTTAGATCACCGTTCCATGTATAGCATTTGTTTGTGGATTTTCTTCCGATCATAACACATTCATGATTTTGATTAAGAACATTGCATTTGTCTTTTGAAAATTCCACTTTTAGTTCATCTTCACATAGTTGGCTTATACTGATCAAGTTTGCTTTTAATCCTTGTACTAAGAAAACTTTTGATAGTTTTGGCAGCCCATGTACGTTCAAGGTTCCATTTGCAATAATTTTTCCTTTTCCTCCATCTCCAAAAGTAACATATCCTTCATTTTTATATTGTATATTCTCCAAATTTTCTGGATTTCCAGTCATATGTCTGGAACAGCCGCTGTCAAAGTACCATATATCCTGTTCTTTGTTTGTTTTGGAGGTATATGCAACATTTTGATCTTTTCTTACCCAGATTTTCTTGCTATCATTTATGTTGTGTGATGTCCATACTCTGTTGTTTTGTCTGTAGTAAAGATCATTTTGTCTTTTGTAGCAATGTGCTTTGATGTGTCCTAGTTTGTGACAATAGTAGCACATTATTCTTCTTCGATGTCGGAAGTGCTGTTGCGACACTTCCTGTATTTCAGGTTGGTTATTCTCACTGGTGTCCGTGCTTGGAGTCCTGGGTCTTTCGGTAAGCTCCTTGATTTCTTGTAGTAGTTTAGCTTCTTTGTTTTTGAAGTCTAATAGTTCTTTCTGAGCTTCTTCGTATTGTTTCTCAATTCGCTCCTTTTCATTTTTTAAATAATGATTATCTTCCATGAGTTCCAAATTTTTCTTGATGATTTGCTCCCACTTGGCGTTTAGTTGAGTGTATGCTTCTAGTAACTCTTGCATGTCATCACTTTTGTTGTCTTCATGGCTAGCAGTGAAAGCTACGAAGTTTGTGTTGTTGTCATCTTCTTCACTATCTGAGTCATCGCTCAGTGTTGTTATGTATGTCTTGTTTTTCCTTTTCAAGTACGTGGCACATTCTGATTGAATGTGTCCAAAGCCTTTGCATTCATAGCATTGTATTCCTTCTGTAATTGTATTATCTCTTCTCTTTGGATTGGACGGTTTTTGATTTGCAGAATTTCCTTGGCTGTTTGAGAAATTTTTGTTCCTGGACTTGTTGAATTTTTTGAGAACTC